TTGAACATAAGGTGGATTTCACGCTTAAGTAATTATTGTCAGTTTTAACCCTATAATAATCTTACAGTTGAAAACGAGCGTGTTGGTTAATAGATACAAACTTGAAAGTATAAAACAGAGAGGACGAGGACGGGAACAGGACATCTTTCATTTAGCAACAACATAGAATGGCACAACGATAAAACCGCCCCCCAAGGGTCTCAACGTTCTCAAAGAGGGAAAGGAGATACCAGTTATAAAGGAAGGGGAATACACTAAAACCGCCCTTGGGGGCCGGTTTTATCGTTGTGCCATTCTATGTTGTTGCTAAATGAAAGATGTCCTGTTCCCGTCCTCGTCCTCTCTGTTTTATACTTTCAAGTTTGTATATAATAATCTGTTTTCGTGTGCATTGTTTGCTGCGTGCACAAATTGATTTGTGCTGCTGCCGATAAAGCTCAGGCCTCGCCAGTTTTCCCTCCCACCACACCAAAAAGCGATTAAGTATCGCAAGAGGTAAAACAGAAGAGCTGGGGCCAAGCATTTTCCTCTAGTGAGAGTACTGCAAAATGAAATAAGGCATCTACACCAGCAGCTACGAAAGTGAACAACCGTGAAGAGCCAATCTAAATTTTGGTTGTAAACTGCTGAAGCGTGAAAAATAAAGTTTCGGGCTTATGTGGCCTCATTCAAGCAACTGACCCATCTGAATCACGGCTCGATGATTCTGTCAGAGATTGTGGAATATTCCCCCGGGGATACGCAGTTTATCGCCGTGACCGTCAGAGTCACGGCGGAAGGGTGTTCTTGTTGATTGCTGATGAGTTGCACAGGACTCACTTTTAAATTCAAGTCAGTTGTGTTGAATCTGTTTGATCTCTCATATACGTAAAAGGGAAAATAATTTTAGTAAGTGATTTTTACAGACCTCCTAAACCAGGTCCCGAAACAATGACTGGTTTTCAAGAAATTAACAATATGCGAAATGGGTGTGTTTGTAGGCGGTGATTTTTACTTTTTAGAAATAATAATAGACAATGGAAATATTAGCGTGCAAAATACGATCTTATGCAATGAACTGGAATGTCTTGTCGATATATTAGGCTTTAAACAATATGTAACCCCACCTACAAGAAAAAAAGCAACATTCTTGAGTTGGTAATGTGTAACCTCCCGGATTGCATTGAAAGCACAACAACGATCCCTGGAATAAGTGATCATGATGCCGTTACTGCTGAAATATCTCTTCCCAGGCCACCAAGGCACACCCATAATAAAAGGAAAGTGTATTTATATAACAAAGGAAAATATACTTCACTCTCGCAGGACCTACAATCTTTGTTAATGGTGTTTAATTACAAGGCAGGTCTTACGAACGTGGAAACATCATGGAACATATTCACCGAAAGACTACACTTTCTTATGAACAAACGCACACCCACTAAAAGTATTAAAGATGGAAAAGCAGTCAGCAAAGCATGGGCCACTTCAGACCTGCTGCGCCAGATCTGTCTTGAATAATTATACGTCCAAAGCAAGCGTCACGGCTATGAAAGAACACTTACAGTGGCAACTGCTCTTATGCAGAAAAAAAATTTTAAGATTAAAACTTTTTATTGTCTATATAGCGATAAAACTTGCATCAATAAAGAAAATTGCATGCGATGTCCTTTCTACGTGTCAGAAAGAGTTGACCATCAATACAAAGTTGCAACTATAAACTATGAACTCCTGTTTTAGATCATTTTTTATGGAACATGCTTAAATAAAAAATTGTTTCCCTCTGTATTTTATTTTTATATGTATTTTGATAACCTCTCTGTGCAATAATGTCTCCAAGGCAATGCAGGTAATCTCAATAAATAAATTACTAAATAAGTGAAATAAATTTTTTAAAATTAAAAAAAAGTGCCGCAAGATTTATTAGTGTGTTCTGTCAGGCCCACGCGCAGACTATAATTTTTTTCTTTGTTCCAGGAAGCATCTCAAGTTCACACAATGTAAAACTTTGGTTATATTCAAGAACATCCAATACAGACAGAGCAATTGGCTGCCTTTATGCCACAGCCCTGAAATTCTTAAATTTGGAAGTTTAATTAGATTAACTAGACTCTTCCTAAAAAGTGTGCAAGAAAATTTGCCTGGCCCTTCAAAAGTCATCAGAGGGAGGGGGGGGGGGGGGTAAAAGACGTGTCCTAAACGGAAGATAGTTTCCCAGAATCTTTCTATTTCCCATACCACATTTGAACTAACAAAACTTTTCACCTTGGAAGCATAGTTCATTCACGAGCTCATTTTGGGTTGCTTCCTTGCCCAATAAGCATTTGCTTTGCTTTTTTTTAAACTCTCTCTCGTTCCAGACAGTTGGGCAGAGGCAAACATTGTTCCAGACATTGTACTGTGATTTATGTGTGGCAGTTTCTCCTTGGTTCACGAAGGCTTGCAAAACTTCAAATGATTTCTAGATGTTTCAGGAATTGAAACATATGCTGCATTTATGATCTGGTCAGTAATATGCAAGGTTGCATTCTCAGAGGTAATAGCTAAACGATCGGCGGCGTCGAAGACCGCCTCCAACACAACAAGAAGCCAGTCCGCCATGTCAAATTTCTACCTGGGGATGCGGAGTGTATGCGAAGACAGTGCAACTGTACTTTCTAAAATCACAGGAAAATGGTCACTTCCAAAATGACTGTCTAAAACATTTCAAGGAAAGCGTGGAAGTAAATAGTAAGGAGAGGGACAAATGAGTGTGGGTGAAATATTATGAGGTGCCCTAAAGTCCCATCCATTGAAAAGGCAAAGGCCGGTGGACAGCAAAAATAGTTCAATGTTTCTACCACGGGAGGCTTGTCGGGCACTGACCCACATTGTGTGGTGCGCATTAAAATCTCCTTTAAAATATATTTAGGAATCTGACCAACTAGTCCTTGAAGGTCATATTAATGCAGTGAAATGTGAAATATTTGGTTGCACTAGACTAAATTCAGTGTAATAAGGCGGTCAAGAAGAATACGAACAGCCACTACGTCTAGCGAGGTCGTGAGAGGAAGAGGAGCACAGGCAAATCTGCTTTGCACAACTAAAGCTACTCCACGAGTCGAGTTGCAAGGGGTTGCACGGTCCTTTCTAAAAACTTGATGGCGGCGTAGAAGATTTGTCTGTGTCCTTACGATGTAACTCCTGTAAGCATATAACCACAGGTCGAAGCTCATTGAGAAAAAAACACTTGATGTCATCAATATAAGAAGAAAGGCCACGGCAATCCCCCTGCATGATACTATCGCTCTTTACCATTTACAGAAAAAAAAATATATGCTATAAACGATGACCTGAAGAAACGTTAATCGTTAATGTTTAAGGTCTCCTTTTACACGCATGATGCTTTGTTCTTTTGAAGATCTTTTTGTTTCCGAGTGGGGTCACTGGCGACAAAAAAAAAAAGTACTCCGATCCTGAGTGGGGAGCGTCCTCATCGGACCTGAACCCACCTTTATCGATGGGTTCGTATCTTGCCTCCGGCAGCTGACCCTTGGAGGTCGACGGCTTCGGCAGATCCCCAGGCTTTCTCTTGGGAGCAAAGGTGCGAGGGGGTTGACCTCGGCCCCGAAGGGGTCGAAGTGGCAGCTGGAGCAGGGGCTGTCATTCCCTGCTCTGCGGTTGATGCTGATGAGGCAGCATCCGCTTTGCGATGCGAATGCGATGCCTTGAAAACAGTTACACAGAAGGAGACCACGGCGGGACACGCTGATCATCCGGATACGTCTGTGTTTCAGTCAAAACCATTGGCCGCTCCGGTCAAATGCGTATGGCCTGGACATAAGAGCCTTCGGAAACAAAGTCGAAGCTCGTCTTTTCACCAATATAAGAAATGCTTTCAGTAACCTCCAAGGTGATGATTTGTTTTTCTATTTTTCCATAAGGAGCTAGATCTGGAGTACGTTGTAATCTTACCGTTACCGTTTGCGCACTTAGCTTTGTTCTCACGCACATCAGCGACATGCTCCTTACTAGAGCACTTGGCACAGGTTTCACCACCCCGACAGTTTTGAAACCCATGGCCGAACCTTTGGCACTCAAAACACTCCTGGGGGTTCGGTACATAGGACTGGACATGAATTTGAAGCTTGCCTGCCTTTACAGCAGCTGGAAGAGTGGTAGAATCGATAGTCAAGATAATATGCCTTGTTTTGAGTCGTACGCCATCGCAGCGGAGAGTGATGCGTCGCGCTGCAACAACTCCCTGCTAAGAGAGACACTCAACTGACTCTGTATCTTTTGAGTCAAGCAAGTTATCTACAGAAATGACATCTTGGGCAGTGTTCAACTTCGGTGAGGGTCGCACAAACCTTGTAGTCCGAGATGGAGATCGGGGCTACTATTAATTCTTTGCTTTTTAGTATTTATCTGAACAAGAAGGTCGCCTGATTCCACTTTTTTTGGCGCGGAAGTTTGCACCGACAACAGCTTCAAGCACTTTGGACACTAAAGATTAAGAAAGTTTAGAGAGAGGATTTTAGCCCTCAGACCTATGAACAAGACTCCTTGGGAATTTGAAAAGATCGGGGTACATTGTGGCAATCTCAAGGACGTCGGTTCGACCACTTTTCGGAGGCCCATGAACAGTTGTAGTTTGGAAGCTATAACAGATGGGAGGAAGCTTCAGTGCCCCAGTGCACCGCCCACCACGGAGCTCAAAAGGGATAGGTGATTTGGCACAGCAAGAAGCGCTTGACTGACACTGTTACTCTACCAGTGCTACCCCGGCACGATACCCGAGTGTGGTTCCAGGAACAGGTCCTGTCTCGATCCAAGGTTTGTCCTTGCCGCCTAAGAATATGAAAAAGAAAGGAAGAGAGAGCAGGAGAAAAGAGAAATAGGTGGCAGAAAAAGTGAAAGAAAGAGGAAGAGGATAGAATAGGCAACTGACTAAGTCGCCTATTACGAGTATTTTTTGGCACCGCCCGATTGACTAAGTCGGATCGTAGTGCTGGCTGAGGTAGGACCTAAAGCGAGACAGATTATAGCTGTTGTTTGTTGTCCTTTACCGCTAGCGATAGCGCTGACCCATATGTTAAAGTAGGCGGCACACTGTGGCCTGCCTGCCCTTTAACATAGGCAAACAGGACTGACGCGCTTAAACGGAAACCACTTACATAAACCGCAAACTGGGTATTTATTGAGTCCATCGACAAGGCTGCAGAGTTCCGAGTAATTTGTTCGGAGCGTACTGCTAGCGAGGCTGCCTTCAGTCGCACCCTGCGAACTGCCCAAACAGCACCGATGAGTCCATTCACAACGGCGAGCGTGTGGAAGAGACCATCATAATTTCCTTCGTTATCTCTGAAATAACCTGCATAAAAAAATTTAAACCTTTGTTGTTATCTGCAGCACCACACTACACACAAGAAAAGAAATAATTGAATATATTTACAACATTTTAAGGGTACAGTCTATGCAGTGGAATGGAAGGATAAGTCTTGCGAATAGAAATATTCAAAGTAAGGGACAGCTACACTGCACGGCGCGCTTGGCCAGGAGACAACGTCTCCAGATTGACAAAATCAGCTCGTACAGAATTGCGCGTAAACGCATTTTCTTGCCTAGAAGTTGATGCTGAGGTCGAAACACGCTTTTCATTCAAGACTGTTACAAGAGCGTGAAGCCAAATGAGCGCCCTATAATATTATTATTGCCGACCAAATTGAGCCTAACAGTATTTCGCATAAGCTCTAAAACACATTTCTAAAACACAATCGTTAAGATAAAATTCCCCGTAATTGCCGGCCAAATTGGGCCTAACAGTATTTCGCATAAGCTCTAAAACACACCTCTAATACAGGACAGTTAAGGAAAAATTCCCCGTAAAAGAACGACAAACAGTATATCGGTAAAGTGCTTCCATTATAGACCCCTTTCGAAATTCACGTGCCGATTGTTAGAAGGTCGGTCGGAAACCCTTCCCAATGGCGAAAGAACTGACACCGTGGAACGTGCAAGTCATTCCATAAGATAGCGAACGTCGGAGCGCGCCTAACGCTTGGAGCCAACGAGCCCATCAAACAGTGCAAGTGCAATGTCACTGCGCTCATCACTTTTTTCTGTGTACACGTAGCAGAGCGCGTTAGATGGAGTACAGTTCACACGGAAAGAATAAAAACACCAAAAAATATACGAGGGACAGACACAGACAGTTTTTACAACGAGCAACTACATTTAAATGATGCTCATTACACTATGATGAACCGCTTTAGTCACAGAGAAAATTAAGTGAAGACGAAAATACAAGAAGATACTAGATCCTAGCGCCGGAATTGCCATAGAAAATATCTCCTCCAGTTTCTTCTTCTTCTTCTTCCTTTTCAGGAAGTTAAATTCAGCTATCTTTACTTTTGTCTTTTTGCAGTATCTTGGTATTTTCGCCTTCACTTAATTTTCTCTGTGACCAAAGCGGTTCATCCTAGTGTAATAGGCATCATTTAAATGTAGTTGCTCGTTGAAAGAACTGCGTGTGTCTGTCCCTCGTATATTGTTTGGTGTTTTTATTCTTTCCGTGTGACCTTTTTCTGTGGGCGTGTATTTTCTCTTTTCCAAACAAACGCATAAAGTGTTCCGTGACGTTACGGTTTTAATCCTTCTTTGTGCAGGGATTCCACGGCTACCAAAGAGAGCAGTTTTCCGAGAGGGGTCTACCTGACAGCCAGCGTAACGTTTCTGGACATCCTGCCGGTACTCGTTATAGGCCGTTTCAATGAGGCCAACCCCAAATATTGACATATAGATTGAAGAGTAAAAATTGTTTTAAATCAGTCAGAGGCTGCTGAAAGGCATCATTTTCCTTCCGCCGACAAATACGTGAATGAAAAAATGTAAGTAAGCATGGCCGCGAGGGCAGGGCAGCCAGGCCTTTACCAGGACGCTTTGGTTCAACATAAAATGAAAACGCGTAATCAGCGAGGATGATGCACTCCTACATCTTATGGGCGCAATGGCGGCTGCCTCGTTCCTGACCAGTGAAGTTGCACGCTACCCAGATGAGCTATCTATATTTTTGTACAGCTAACCGCGCTGAGGCCAAGAGCGCCAGACTACCCACACCTCGCGGGCATCGCCTACATGAGGTAGAACTAAGGCGGTGCGTGGAAACTTGGGGACTGACGGACAAGCCGAAAGATATTATTTGTCTCCTCTTTATTCAATTAAATGTTGAAGCCAGAAGCTTCGTGGTATTAATCCGTGTTAGGCATAGAGTGAGACAACTAGACCAGACTGCAGTCTTGGGTAAGTTACTTTTAAAAAGTAATTCGTTACAGTTCCCGTTACTTTCAGAAAAAAGTAGCGAAGTTACCGTTACAGTTACCGCAATAAAATAGTAACTCGTTACAGTTACAGTTACTTTTAAAAAGTAACGACGCTACTTCTCAGTTACTTTTCTACAACTCAAAAAATTTAGGGAAAACTAGAAAACGCCCCTCGCCAAGTTTTATTGCATAAAATTAAAAAGTGCGGTTTTTAGTTTATATTGTAACTTAGCAGGCAGTTGCTTTTGGAAAGTATTATCTGAAAGTTTCCCTTGTTTGATGGCGAACACGGCCCTGCCCTTGCTGAATAGGGGCTCAACTGGCGCGCTGGAAGGAATTGCACGGGAGCAAACGCGGACTTAATACAAATGCCTTATCCTTGGTAACACTAGCACATTGCTGGCTCGCTGAAGGTTGCGCTGGATTCATAGAGTCGCTGGACATATTTCAGTTTGTACCCGGCAAGCCAGAAACAAACCCCGCGCAAACAGCGGCAAATTTTGCCTCGACTGTTGACACCACGCCGGAGTAGTGGCGCACATCAAAATACAAAACATGCGCATTAAGTAGTAGTGGCGTTAATCAAAACACGAAACATGTGCAGTGCCTTCCGCGTGCATTGTTGATTCAGGGTTGGGTCAACCGATTAAAAAGTGTTTGCGCAGAAAAAGGAACAACCGCAACATAGATAGTGCTTCAAGATACTTAGATGTAAGTGTTCAGTCACAAAGTACATGCGCGTTTGTAAAGATAACTAGATTTTGTTTTCCATGAAATCTACACGTGGCTATATTCGGGTCATGACTCGCGAAAAAGAACGTATTTACAAGTTTGTGCAAGGCCAACTTGACACTCGAAATGTCGGAAAAGACAATTTGGAAAGTGCAAGGAATAGCTAGATTGCACTCGTTCAATGATTTATTATTCATAAAACAACTGGAAAGTAGCGACAAAAGTAACGTGGTTACTTTTACCGTTACCTCAGAAAAAGTAATAGAACTACAGTTACAAATTACATTTTTTTTAAAAGTAACTCGTTACAGTTACAAGTTACCGAAAAGTAACGAAATTACAGTAACGCGTTACTAGTAACGCGTTACTATTTAAGACTGGACCAGAGTAGCCCCCAACGCGGGGCACGATCCCACAACCTTGAGATTGTCTCATACTCTAACCGACGGAGGTATACTGCGTTAATCCCTAAGCTGAGGGTGCATTGGAAGCTACGTGCTCCTTTGTTCAGTCATGCCTATATAGGTCACTACGTGATCACAAGTTCCCCCGTACCCACGTGTCGAGAGTGGGGTCAGGTGATGAGAAGGAGGTATTTGGTTCTTCTGGGGAGGGCGTAGCTTCCACTGCACTGTCAGCTTTGAGATGAACGGAGTAGAGACGGGTGTCAGGTTGACCATTTCAAGAACTTTGCGTGGCGCACAGATGTGAACTTCCGTAGGCGCTGAACTAATAGAACGACATGCGCACAGGTCACGACTCCTTCTGACTTTTGCCGGACACGAGTTCGCGCCCCCATAAAAGTCCACGCAACCTTCCCCCTCCCCTTCCCGTATCGGCTTTGCCTCCAATTTGCTTTATATGCAACCCATGGAGCACAAAATCATGTCCGTCATGGAGCCGTGTTCAGGGTGGACTCCCCGCTGTAATGGCCCAGGTTCTCTCCCGTCGGCGTTGACTGAAGAAAATTTCCGTGTGCAGGAAAACACATGGCGAATTCCACGGGTCGTTTTGGAGCGCGCCGGGATCGACTTTTCTGGAGCGAGCCTATTTCAATGGGCGATCAGGTTCGAGACGGACGTGTTGCACAGGTCGTTTTGGATTAGGTTTTGGATCAAATGCTGCGATATACACTACCGCGTCTCTTAAATTGTTGCATTGAATTGATTATAAATATTTTAAGTGGAACTCGGAAGGACGTACTTTCTGTATTTGTTAATGATTTTCTTAAATACGTTCCGGAATAGTTAAAGCATGAATCGATTGTGCGATTTAGCTCACTTATTTTCTTTTTATTGGTGTAGAGATTGTGAAGTTGTGTGAATTTGTGTACGTGTATATATTTTGTTTCTCTGCTGCGTTAGGGGGGGCAGAGGCTCGTCAAGCAACACTGCTTTGCTTTTTTCTCTGCCTCCCGTCTCCAAGCGGAGAGAAATAAAGACTTTTGACTTTTGAGCTCCCGATCCAGATCTCGATCCGGATCTGAGAAAAGTCGCTCCCACGAGTTCGGCGGATTCAACCGGAATCCAGCCGCGCCAGCCCTCGGCGCACACACATGACTTCCTTTCTCGCGGGGCATCTCGGCTGATCTCGCCCATCCGGCATTCCGGCAATCTTCGCAAGAAGCTCCTGAGCCATTCCTGCCGCTCGTGCGTCGAACACGTGTTAGCGCCGCGATAGCGAAAACGTCTTCGAAACGACCGCGGCGGCCGCGGAAAGGGGATTCCCGGGCAAGTGAATGACGGGAAGGCATCTGCCGATCCCGGAGCAGTGGTCATATTCCACAAGGGATCCGTAGGTGGCGGACCCCGTTCGGATCGTGTGCTCCATTCCGGATCTGGTCAACTGATTCCAGCGCGCTCCAAAACGCCCCGTTGAATTTGCCAATAGTTTTGCTCTCGCAACGCTTCGGGATGTCTTTCACGTTTTAATGGCAAGTGGGACTCATTTATGTTCCCCTCTTTTGCATATTTTAGACTACGGAATTGTTCGCATGACCTGACGTCATCTGACGTCAGGCTGCCTGACACCTTGACGTCATGGCGTGGACTTGGTATCAAATGATATCATAACGTCACTTGGCGTCAGGTCACGTGTAGTTTACCTTTCCGCTAAATTTAGTGCGGAAATGAAGAAACACTATGTTTTGCACTCCCCGAAACGAATTAGAGCCTCGCTCAAGAAAACGCGGCGCCTTGCGAATGCTAAATATTTCCCTACAAACATTTCAAATAGCATGCATAGATGTCATATTGGTCTCATGAGTACTGGCAGCAAAGATATTTGCTGCCCATTCATCTACTTCTCTCTTTTAGATTGTGTAATTTATTTTTATTTTGTGCCTCATTTGTCTTTATTTTTACGCCTGTACGCTACAAGATGCATCTGTCTAATAGATTATTTAGAATGTATATTCCTTCATTATTTATTTGGAAGGGGGGGAGGAGGGAGTAGCTTTATGAAGTGATAAGAGTCCCTTTTTTTTTTCTACCTTCGTCTTGCCGTTGGAGGGAAAAAAAATAAACCTGAGCTACAGTTCAAACAACGTTGTGTTATTTCCATGTCTCGAGCACGAAATACGACAACCCTAAAGTTAACATGCCAGCTCAGGGAAGAAAGCGCAAGTCACAAGGGGTAAGGTGCGTGTGAGAGAAGGAGAATTTTTAATATTATGAAAAAAGATGGGAAGAGCGAGCACGTGTGTGCGAGCCGTTTCGTTGTCTTCAACCATTTTCCTGCCTTCATTCAGCGATCAATGCAATGAAAATGTTTTCAATCGTAACGCTGTATTTTCGCATTAAGCCTGCTGGAGATGTTTGCTGAATCTTATTGCCATACAATAGCAACATGATTACTCTCATAGCGCGGCTCAATTCAATAATTTTTCACAAATATCCGAGCACTACGTACCTGCCCTACATACCAGAATGCATGGCAGCGACCTTGTGATCTATACGAAATAAACCGTTTCCTTGTACAAGGGGATTTTTTCGTAACATATTCTTAGACTCCTTGTGGGTCTGTATACCCGAACGCCATCGTAGGGACTTAGGTTCAGAACCTGAATCCTTCCTCTTACGTGTAATGACCGCCTCTGAGGTGAGGCCATAACCGAGATAGAGATAAAGGACTTGTTTTTATCAACAGCTTCGCACATGTTGTCAGCATCGTTGTTTATCCAGGCATCGTCATTATCGTTGAACGGTGACGAGCCACGTCAGATGCTAAATAATTATTGAAATACAAAAATTTGAAGCATGGGGACTAAGAAATATATGAGTAATTTAGTACACCCTCGAAAATGGGGGAACACTGTCTAGAAAAGACTTACCAAGAAGGGGCGGTCTTGTCATCAGTAGCAGGCCTCCGATGAAGCGTAATGTTCCAAACATCATTGGTAGCGGTTGATCTTTGAAGTCATGCAGCAGCACTATTGATGGCAGTGAGACAATTAAACCCTGGCTCGCACCGAGCAATGAAGACAGCAGCAGCAATGGCAGCAACGATGACAACCAGATAAAACCTTCACAAGCGATTGCACATCCCACAAAGCTAAGCATGACTACAGTCTCTAAAGCCGCGACACGGCGATCGACCAGAAGACCCCCCATCACCCTGAAGAGTATATCCCCGATTGTGAATGAGTGCATCAAGTAAACCCCAGATCCCAATTCAATATTTTTGTCTCTCGCGAGATCAACGTGTATAATGATGAACGTCGTCAGAACGTACATTTGAACAGCGAACGAGAAAGCATCCACGTGAAATTTTATACTCGATAGAAGCTTTAGTGTATTCTTCAAGGCATTATGTGTGCGGTTGCGAAACGTTTTTTCGTCCTCTTTAAGACCTATGATTTTTTCCTTCCTTGCGGTTAATGACGCGTCATGGACAACAAATAATATGTTTTCTTTTTCTGTGAAATCTAAGCTTTCTTGGGAATCTTCGCCATTGTCTTGTGTTATTTTAGGTTCAATCACCGGACGGTTCACTGACACAGGCTCCTTGAAACGTTTAGTATGCACCCAGGGGGGGCTTCGAAGGGCCAGAGCTGCGGGAAATGCATTTAGAGTAACTGCGCCAAGAAGTAAAAATGCTCCCAGCGTTCCGTATGTGGAAATAAAATAACTCGTCAGCTGCGGCATAAAAAATACATTCACTGCTTGAAATGATATTGCGATTGTGATTGCTGTTGCTTGCCACTTTTTGAAATGCTGAGTGCATATCGTGTTCACAGCGACCGTAATTCCACCCAGGGTTCCTCCTGAAAAAGAAGCTTAGTTTCAGAACGTAAGCAATGATTGCCAAAATAAAGTTTGCTTTTTAAAATTTCTTTTGAAAGAAATACACGCACACAATATTATCACTTTGAGCCAAATGCAAGCTAAAAGAATGATCGCTTTGAGACAATACAAGCACACATAATCATCTGTTTTCCAGGTAAGGTACAGCTTTATGCAAAGGCATAAAATTATTTAAATGATTAAATATGCGAGTGTTAAGACAGTATCTAGCTTGCAGACATTCCATACCAACAACCTTTCTGTGGAACATGTGTAATCCTAATATAACTGTCAATATCAAAGCTTCTCTCTTGGCGGAAATGCTTTAACCCTGAAATATTTTATCTTTAAACCATGTTTTCAGTAGCAGCACAATAAATTATAAATCATTAAACCGGGTATTTCTTGATTTTTCTAACTTATCCGAAGCGATAGGAACCACCTAAGAATACATGTATACTATGTTTTTTTATTGTGTTCTTATTTTCGGTTTAATTACGAAAGTCGTACATCAGCCTGCATAATTGCTTCAGTGTTTGACCGTTTTATACCTTCAAGTAGTAATCTGATTTTCTCAACTTTCTATACACGACGAGAAGCCGTTAAAGTCTTGTTTTCTTTGTAAAAAAATATTAGAAACCAATTCCTTATGGGAATATTGAAGTATGGGTGATGTGCTTCATCTCGCTCTCATTAGCACCAAACAAAAATATTAATTGGTCTTAAATTTCCATAATTTAGACGCTAATTATCGAAGTCATCTTAAAATGTGAACATGGAACCACGGAGATCACGACATATATAAGGAAGTTCCACCGACGCAGCTAGGAATTGACTGGATTGAAAGTGCGTTTAAGGTAATTTGGGAACGGTGCAAGGAAGAACACGTTGCAGGTGTAATTTGACTTTCACTTGGAGCATACTTTTTAAGGATATGATATTTTTACGGCCATGTTTTGCTAGGATGATCTCTTTTGAGTCGTCTCATTTACATTTCCTTTGATATTATAGAAGTTACCGACAACTACACATTACAGGAGTGCTGCAAATTTAACTACCTCTCTCTCTAACTGCAGGTGTACCTAATATGCACTCTCTTGAGTGTCAGCAAATGCTCTGCGCTATTTACTTCTGAAAGTGTCAAACGATACTCGAATAATTAACGACCAGCGTGTTGGTGAATAGATACGTACGAGTACATGAAAAGATAAAACATCGAGGGCGGAGACGGACACTGTGGGATATTGCTACCAACTAACACAGGTCCCGACAGAGTAACCAAAGGGTTATCTCAACAGCGGCGGCGATCTCAAAGGAGCCATCAAACCTAGTAGCCCGCGGTTCCCACATCTCCGCGGCAATGTAGACGTCGTTTAAGGCTACATGACCGCGGGTCGGTTCGATTAATTACTCCGTCGGTGCCAATGATCGTCTACCTTGTCTCACTCTCTCGAATATAGCGGAAGAGAAGACACAGGTACCAGAGTAAGGACAGAGTCCAAGAGCATTTATTAGAACACTCTTAAAATGAACTGCAATGTCCCCATCCAAAATGCCCCCCGCGCCGACAAGGTAAGAAAAGGTCCTTATCTGCCAGACGCGGGGTTCCGGAGAGCCAAGACCGGGGAAGCATCCGAGAAGTCGCCGACACACGTCCTATCTCTTTCGCGGTCACCCGGACGAGTTCCTTTCCCGAAAGCGGGAGAACAAGAGGCGAAACCTCCTCGCCTGTCAGCAGTGATCCGCATCCGAGCGGGGGGAACGGAAATCGGTCCCCCCGAGAGAGAGTGAGAGGAGGGTCTCCCAAGCCAGGCGGCCCTCCGCCTCACGAACAGGTCGGAGCTCATGGCGAAGCAGGCCCAGTGTTCCGACCCGCGGCCGTTATCACAGCCATCGGGGAAGGGACATCACGGGAATCCCCACAACACAGAACCGCTTTCATACTCTAAGACAGGGGCCTCTAAACCATGGCCCACGGGCCAGGGCAGATTTGGACCGCGGAACTCTTCCGAACAACCAGCGGCTGTTCGAAAGAGTTCCTAACAGCCGCTGGTCTTCCTTCTGACACGCTGCTGAGCTGCGAAAGAAGTGCACGTAAAGAAATGGCGCTGCGCCGCGCTTCAAATGCGCAAACCAAGATACCAGAAAAAACAAGAGAAACTGCATCGTAATGCAGGTCCTCTCGCCATATTACTAGAAACGGACTGTCACCACCAGCAATACTATTCTTAGTCTCCTGTTTCATGTCTGCGTCACTCTAGGTCTGCTCGATTGTTATGCCTGGTCAGTCGTTTTGTGCACATCTGTGGTTTAATATCACAATTAGCTTAATAATAAATTAGGAATTAATGGTTCTGTGATGATTTGTTTTTATTCACACTTTCTCTAACACCATTTTGTCTGTTTAAATGCTAATCTAGGTTTATTTATTTAGTTTTTCTTTTTTTATATTTACTTTTGTTTTCGGGCCCTCCAGACTGCGACAGATCGCCGATCCGACTCCTTAGCCAAAACGTTTGGAGACCCCTGCTCTAGGATGAAGATTCCTTTAAACGCGCACAAGTTAGAAAACCGAGCTCAATTCGATAGCTAACAAAAGAAGATACAAAGGCTGTATACTTACCGTGCACGATTCCAAAGAAAATTGTAATAAATAAAAGGCTGGGTGCAAAGTAGCAGAGCGAAATTCCGGCGGATGTAACCAACGTTGAGATCACCAGCACTGCGCGACAGGAGCAGACTTCGCAGAGATACCCAAACACAAGCGCTGCAAATATTACGTCATAAATATGGAACTTATGAAACTCGGTGCACACTGAGGCATTTGCATTCACATTCGAAACCTATTTTCCGAATATATCGTTCTCTTTAAGGAGCCGCAAAAAATACGCTCAAGGTTTTAAGATACCATAATGCCAGGTTTTAAAATAAAAGGACCAAACCAAGTGTAATAGAACAATAAAACTCTATTGATTATTTCCACTGCGTGTGTTTCTGTTCGCTCATCAAATCTAGGCATAAAAGAGATGTTGGTCTGGATGAAATAAACATTATGATCTAATATTTCCAAGTTCCGCAGTAGAAAATTGAAAGGTGCATTGATTCAAGCGGAGTAGCTGTCACTACGCAGAAAAATCATACAAAGCGCAAAGCATACAGTGGCGACCTACGACGGACTAGAGCAGGGAAGTGGATTGTTCCATAGTAGCGTAATATTGTTATTGTCCGCGTTTCAACCAGAAAAATTGTTCGCCAGTTTCGCGTTTTACACAAGTTAAATACCCAATAATCTCAAACTAGCAGCTGGAGGGCTCGACTAAATAGAAAAATGTAAATAAAAAAAAAAGAATAAAAAACAACAAACATTTAAAGTAAATACATTTCTAGCTTTCAACGCGGACAATTTGTAGACATTTTGGATATTCACCACTTCTCTGACCTTTTTTTAAACCAGTGTTTCTATGGGATGATCACAGTTCTTAATGAAGAACATGTACACAGTTTATATTTTCCCCCTTCGTAATGGTATCGGCGTGAGCGCCGTTGGATTTACAAAAGATTGTTTTATGTAACAACAAAAGGTTTCTAGACATGTCGAATTGACAAGGCGTTTCACTTAACAAGATGTGGGATGCATTCCTTTGCAATACTAGGTACTGTACTTCGTATACCCTCAATGCACGCATTGTTCAAGGTTGAGGTTGCCTCTACACGATATCTCTCTCTTTAGACACATTCTCAATTTGTGACGCACTTATTATTAATAGGTGTTTCTGCTCACCGCCCATAAAGTTGCAAGCGATCTGTACAGTCATTGGCATGGAAGCATCTTCACGTGTGACATCGAAGAACTGAACCACTCCCACAAAAAGGACTCCACTTGAGCGAATGCTTAACGTTGCGGTAAGTGCGACCCAGCAGCAAAACCCATTAACAACCCAACTCCGCCGAGAATCCAGTCCAAAGATGGCATGCTGCTTGAGACTTTCCATTGTCCTGGTAGAGGAAATTGAAACCCACTGCCGTGTTTAATGTAAAACAGATCCTTGCAGAATGATTCGTCGGACCTATTGCAAAAGAAGAGAAAAGGAAGGATGGTTTCTGAGCTTATTTTTATATATGGCACTCCAATTAGCAAGGATTATTTAACTATTGTCGGTGACAACTCAAGCTAGGACGAGGGAAAAGAACATGGGAGAGGAGGAAATAGACACAACGCTGGCGAGGGGAGGGGAAAAATCCCGCCCCTCGCCAGTGTTGCGTCCGCTTTCTCCTCTCCCATCTTTCTTTCCCTGGCCCTACCTTCTAAACCTGCAACATACTATAAAAATAATGAAACTAATATTACTCCAGCTCCTAAATTAACTACTATAAAAGTAAAGAGTGCACTTCAAAATGGTACAGGGTTTTTTCATCACAAAAATAAACTTCACACCCCAAATGCTGCCTCCACACTCTAAGAAAAAATGGAGGAAAAAAGTGGCAACGGCGCGTCTTCTTCCCTTCTACTGACGCTCCCCCAAGCGGAAACGAAGAGAGGGGAGGAACGAGACGTTTTTCTCCTTCTCCAGGCCGACGGGAGAAAGCTTTCGCCCTTCCGACTTATCTCCTTCGGTGTCGTTTTTCGAGCACGTCGCGCACGTTGTTTAATAAATTTTGTTAAGCCGCTAGAAACAGCGAAGTTCCGGAGCAGTGCCAGCAGTGCTACGTACACTGGATAAGATGGCCGTCTCCGGATTGCGGGACACACGCGGAACTACAGTAGCGGAACCACGCGGAACTGTATCGACGTTTTCGACGTTATGGAAATCGCAAGAACTGCGTCCAAGACAGGCAGGTTTTGCTGCCGCCTACCTGGGTGCCCTCCATGCTGAGTTAAGTTATGTATTCCGATGCCGAGCGCCAACCGGCAATCAACGTGGTTCTGTATTTCTGCGTGTCAGCAGCATAGCAGCAATATCGTGATGGCAGCGTTGTGCGCTGGGAACAGAAGACAGCAATTATCGCCGAAGTGAACGTGTGTTCGCGTGTCAGTGGTGTAACAAGATGAGATGACGTAAACTTTCGGGCATTGATGCCACTGGTCGGGCAGTGATCAAAGGGGGCGGGGTGTCGCAGGTTGACATTTCGCTTTACATTAAAAAGTTTAAGACCACTTGAGGGATTAGGTGCAATCGCTCCTATCGTAGAGTGGCCAATGTTACTGTCGGTTGTCTCCTCCCCGAGGGCGATTGCGCTCTTGGGAAAGGACTGAACAGTACAAAGTTATGACGGAAAGTACGTACATTTACAGTGTGGAATTTTAGCATGAAAAACAATAGTAGCCTAGCTACTTGCAATTACTCTGCTGGTGGCAAGCGATTTAACCTTCTTTCGCGCTACGCGATAGACAGCGGTTTCGAGTTTGTTCTTCTGAGAGCGGCTTTTGGTTTCGCGGGTTGGTTTGCCATTCCTCCGTGACGTGCGGTTGGCGAAGGAATTCTGACTCGAGGAACAGCAAAGGTAAAACGTAAAGTGCGCGAAGTAACTGGGTATTGGTTGTCTCCGTTTAACATCGCAGTGCTGACTACGAGAAGACTGGGTAACTGCTTCTGAAACGCAAGTTTCTGTACCTGCGGGGGAAATCTGGCGTCGGAAATAAACACAGTTCGCGGAAAGCTCGTGTTACGCTTTGATTTGCTGCTCCTTTTGTCCCCTACAAGAGACGTAGCGTCCTTGTTAAGCCTTATTGAGCTCGACTCGCTCGATTCGGGGCCGCCATAATGAGATGCAGGCGACGGAGGAACTTTGCTCCTTTGCTTCAGGAACGAAAGTTTCTCCCTTTCTAAATGAACATAGGTTACAAGACCATTCCTCCCCTTACGGAGGACTATCGATACCCTTTTTTCTGAGAGTGCACCGTCAATGTAGCCCTAAAGGTTTGACGGACTAAAAGCCAAAGGTACAGAACTAAGCGTTCTTTTCTTCCAAAGTTACAAGCAATGTTTGAAAATGTTTACTAGAAAACGTATGGCCGACAAAGTCCAATATTACATGTGTATGAATGGTGTAAACTACCAGGGACAGGCCACAGTGTTATATTGAAATTTAAAAAAAGAAGAAGTTTTCCCTTTTTTATTTTTGTAAGTCCTGAAACTTTAAAATTTGGTCCAGACACCGCTACCTAGTTCTAGTTTCGAGAGAGACTGAGCGTTCAAATATGTGTCGTCAATTTTTTCGATGAAAAAAGAACTGTACATTTTCAGAGGGGAGAACACTCTGTACTGCGTACTGTTCACACAGAAATAGATATTTAGTCAACTCTTTTCCAAGCAACATAAGTTAATTCCAAACCAACGTTTTCACACGTGCTTTCGTGCCACATTATTAAAGTTCATACCATATCAGTATACTTTCATGGTTTCACCCAGAGACACTCTATATGAGTGCCTTAGTCCCTTGATGAACTACAATGGGCACAGGTACAAAATGCGCGACGCCATTTTCAACATAATAACCACCATGACGACGACGTGGAGACAAAGCGATACCAACGGCAGTACCGTTGGTATGCTCCCGTCCAGAGCGAAATCCTCGCTCTAGACGGAGAACATATTAGTTGGGTAATGAGGGAAAGAGTATTGATTGATTTTTTTCTGAGCCGAAAGGTACAATGTAATACTAGATCAATTTTTATGTTTCGTACTCACCGATAATATTGGAAAAAATTATGTCGGGGGAAAGCAAATATATTACTTGGAAATAGAGTTCCCTTTGAGATCGCTTCTAGAATTCGCTATAATCACTGAGAGGACATGAACGGAAGGGTTTCTGTTTCCGTTGCCTGATCTGTAGCACGTGCTCGTTGACTTCCACCGGGTTCTGGAGGACTCCGCAAGCTCGATGCTCAGTAGACCCCGAAGCGTGATTCCAGGTAGAAAGCTCTCGGTGTAGGTGGCAAGGCAGAAATACCTCCCCAACGCTCTAGTCCTGCAAACAGCCCATGCCGCTCATTTTCTCCTTGTTCTTCGTAGTAAGTTGAAGCTACACGTCGTATATTTTACAGTGGAGGTTTACTGAGATTTGCTGCATAGCTGTATACCGGCGCATAACCCAACTGTTCTGTTCTACAGGGGTACGATTTCTGCAAAAATAGTCACCGCGAAAAAATATAAAAAACGCAGTCGAGGTTTGTCGGCGCCCCACCTGTGCCGCAGGAAATGTATGTAAATAGGAACGCATCAATTGCAAACGTGAACCGTTCATGAGTCAGCTGGATCCCAGCATGTGTCCGTAACGTGGATAGCAGTTGAAAAACCCTCCAGCGAATAATAGGACATTTGCGAGAGGGATTTGTTTTACAGTTAGTCTTTTAGTTTTTTTAAACAAAGAGTAGGTATATTTTACAGTAAGAGGACATAACTGTTTTTCTGACATGAGACCACCAGGACTGCTATTACTTGTGTAGCTCCGGAAGCTGATCATAACCATTGTCACTGAAAGGCTGGTGAAGGAGGCGAGACCTTCCACGAGCAGCCATGTATAAATTGGTATATTATAGTTTGTCAAGTCATTCTTATGTACCATGCAAGGCCAATACAAACTAGAAGACAAGGCCTACGCGTGACATTTCGTTAGTAAATCCCCGACCCGCCCCAAGCGGCAAACGCCCTGAAGCTTTACGAGAGTAGTAGCGCGGGAGATATTTTAGAAAAAATGATCGCAGCGCCTCTAGAGAGATGGCAGGCATGCCATGTGCTGCATACCACTGCAAAAACAAGTTTCTGCGTTGTGGTGGAAAATCCTTCTGGGTTTCGGGAAGACAGAACAAACGTGAGTAATTAAGTTACTTCAAATTAAACTGGAAGAGCTATTCAAGCCTTGCTTCGAAATCGTCACTGACGTTTCAACAGACGATTATGACAACTCCACGGAGATCGCGAAGAACTTCACGGGTGACAGACCAGATGCACAACTGAACACCCAGTCCCATGGAGCCGGGTGGGCTGCCAGTCAGATATGTCGTCATGCTTGCTAAGTCCAACTGTAATCAGAAACATGAAACATTTCGAAAGACATTCCGTTGAAGAACAACAAATATTCGCATTGAAAAATGATAACACCTTCCTCATCTACCCGGTAACCTCAGCCGTGCCTTCGAAAAACACATTTCATTGATATATTGCACCAGACGAGAGCTCAGCTGAAGGACTTGAGGCCGCTGATCGACACTCAAAACAAAGGCACGGTGTGCAAAGATCGAATGGACAAGTTCGTCAACAAGTACTTGAATGCACTTTTGAACTGCTTCGTCATGCGAGCAAGCAAAAAACCTGCCAAAGTCACTGCAAAAAAAAATGCAAAATAAAAAAGTTCACACACTGCTGGCACGTAGCAGATTGCAGCGTGCGACTCTTATTTACTGGGCAGTGTGAGCTGGATTACGTTATTCCTTTCCCCTGTTTTGTTTTCAGTTCCTACCAACACCAGGAATGTTAATAAACAAACAAATAACAGGCAGCTGCAAAAAAAAGTGGAGCTTTTTTTATGCCGTTGCTTTCTATTTTACTTTTCTCTTTGTTCTATACGCGCCGCACTGATCGCCGTCGTTCAAGGAGTCCTTTACTGGATTATTTGTACATCGTTTGTATCTATCTGTATCGTCTGCTAACTTTTGTTTTATTCGCTGTTGTTCGCTTCCTGTTCCTTATTTATCTTTATTTTTGTCTGAGAAAGGAACCCGTTTCGAAAATGTTTGCACAATCATTTTCCTCGTTACTTTTTTTATTTTTATTAGGCTGAAGCGGCTGATGCGCTTGGTCTGGTAATATCTTAACATGTTGTTAGTGCAGGTTTTAACGACCACCCCTATTTTGGTAAGAAATTGTGACAACGCAGTCTGTAACTGATCGACAGTATCCTCTTACGACTCAATTCGAGAAGCTGGACGCCTTTCCTCCGCTTCCCAGATGCGTTCCAAACCGTCCAAACTTGTGTGATCCCCTGAGTGGCG